GAGGAATTTCTACAGAATGCATTTCAGCCTAATCAGGAATACTGCCATAAATAAAAGTTTTGATTAGGACTGGAAAACCTTTCAGTCATAGCAATTGTTCTTAAATTCTATGGGGATCATAACTGAAATGAATGAGAGTCTGTAGAATATACATATTTATACAGATAACATATATAATGCCATTTTTCCATTTCCAACATCTGCACCATGAAATACAAGCAGGCTCCTCCAAAACACTGGAACATTCACAATCAAAACCCTCATTGAGAGTTTGACAGTCCAAGGGAAAAATAATAACAGTGCCAAAGCCCGTTATAACGTGATTATTCATACACTGGCCCCTCATGTTACGTATTGAAACAATGCAGATCATATTGTAATATGCTGTGCCTAGAGCTAACAAAAATGATATTAATAACTATCTTCAAAATGTAAATAATTGATTATAATTTTAGTCAGTTGTCAGCCTTTATCAAAGACAAATTGGTGGGGTAATTTTGACAGGGAGCTCTGTGGAATAGTCTCAAACTTCCCCAATTCAATTAATGAGCAGTCAACGAATACTCTATATTATCAGTGTTTAAATGAAAAGCTTTAAATCCTAACTGCTTTATTAAAAATTTAAAAAGTTTGTTGAATAAAACTGATGAGGTATGGAAAACATGTCAACATTATTCACTAAGGACATTATAGATGGGGTTCTGCCTAATCTATTTGTCACCCAAACTTTATAAGTGCTGCTCTAGTAGGTCGGATGCAATCTGAGTTTGTGAATTAACTAGGGCAGACCACAGCTAGTGAGTAATTTCAGCATCAATAGTTATTAAAAAATGGGATTTTCATTGATTAAAATGAAATGAAAATGAAAAATTTGTAATGCATATTATATATGAATTTCATTTATTAAAATGAGATTTTACTCCAAAAAATGTAATGGTTAGTTCTTAAAGTGTGAAGGTCAAGGGATAATTTTAAAGATATGAAATTTCTAGGGGGATTCTTTTTATTTCATAAATAATTTTATTGAGAAACAAATAGCAATGAGAGTTTCAAATATGATTAGGTGGACAGTTTCAATAATTAATACATTGCATATATTTGTCTTAGTAGTTATTCAATGTACAAGATGCAGACAGGATATCCTGTCCACAAACACTATTTGAGCAAATCTTTCTATTCATTGAATTAAGAGAATGTAGCTCTATATCTATCCTATTTTGAATACACAGATTCAAAATGGTCATTCATTTGTATCCCCTTTTTTGTTTAGTTTTGTCAAAGAAGGGTATTCTACTGTCATTTAAATATTGTAGGT